ACCTAAAAAAACAAAAAATTATTTTTGAGTAAAAAAATAATAAAAGGGGGCTGGGATATATAGCTCAGTTGACAGAGTACTTGCCTTGTATGCATAAGGCCCTGGGTTCAATCTGCAGCTCAAAAACAAACAAACAAAATAATAATAAAAGATCCTTTTCTTTAGTCACTGTATTCTTTTTGGCCAAAAACAAGACATAAAAACAAAAATTATTGTTCCTTTATAGGAACAATAATGTTATTACAAATTACATGTGTTATTACCAAGTGTTTTTAAAAATGCAGTTAAAAATTCTTTTACTAAACTCATCTTTCCTCAGCCCCTGATATATTCTCTTCTCTTCTATGGATTCTATTTAGAGAAATCATAAGTGCTTTTCTTCCCAAAGATTCCAAGGAGAACTTAATCGGTGGTGGACTATTTTTTGTTGAGTTAAATACAGTTTGTGTAGCCAAATGACTGTATGGGGTTCCACCTGGGAGGTGGGGCCCCACTCATTGGAAAGGTCAACTCAGTGCTAATTGTGGTCCAAAACTGGCAAATCAAGCTATAAGGCCAGCCTAGGAGGCATGAGCTGGGAGAGAACCACAAAACCCTAACCCTGCAATTCAGTCCCAACGAGAACTATGCCTGGATAAGAAATTAAAGCATCAGATCACCTCTCACTTTGAGTGAATAGAGGTTTCCATCTACAGGGGAAGAAAAAATTTCCCAGTGTGAGGAAACATTTAGGAAAATAATTCAGCTGTTCTGTAGGTGGTAGGAACTACCACATCACAATGATGGTGATAATGGCTAGTATTTGTTGAGTGATGATTTTTGTGTACAGCACTGGATCTTACAGATATTTAACCGTTACAGAGAGACCCTGTGGGGTAGCTAATTCTGTTAGCATCCCCATTTTATTAGTGAAAGCAATTGTAAGCAGGAAACACCAGCATAGGGAGGTTAAAAACCTGTCMAAAGCCACACAGTAAGAAAAAGGGTCAGGAATTGGTTTCAGTTAGTCTGGTTCAAGAGATAGACTGTAAACCACAAAACTCACAATTTCAAAACATTGTGTTCTATTAGAATTGGTTGTGAGCTATTGCCTTCTGTTTGTCTCAATTTCAACTCAGAAAGATGGATAGTTTAATGCTGGTTACTTATAAGCAGGGTATAAATGAAATAATATTAGTCAAGGTTTACTGCCATGTCTGAGTTTATTGCTCTGTCTGAATTTAGAGGKTCAGGTGGAGAAAGTCGTTCCAGATTAAAAAAATTGAGGTTTGAGTAATTGCTCATATGTGCCAGCATCTAATGACCTATGTTTGATACATAGGGATCCAGAGTTCCTGCCCTAATGGCACTCACAAACACTTTGAGTAAGCAAACTTCCAATGCAGCCAAGTAACCACTGGAAACTTACAGGTAACTCACAGAGCAACCAAGTAACCTCAGGAATAGAGGGACTTTGGGAGATGAAATGGTCRATTGCATAGTAGCAAGCCTGGCTCCTTAGTGATATCCAGGCCCATTCAAGGCTATCTCCCTGCCTCAGTGGGAAGGAATTTAGAGAAACTTAGAAAAATGAAACATTTTTGAATGGGAAAAAAGAATAACAAAAGTCACATCTATTTCAACTCAGGTTCAGTAGATTCTTGTACTCAGGACAAATGTCTAGTCAGCTAGATAAAGCAGGAACTGGAAATCCTTAAGACAAAAGAAATTAAGTTTTTTCAGCTGGGCATAGTGGTGCACACCTGTAATCCCAGTGGCTTGGGAGGCTGAGGCAGGAGGATTGTGAGTTCAAAGCCAGTCTCAGCAAAAACAAGGAGCTAAGCAACCCAGACAGTGTCTCTAAATGAAAAGAAAGGGAGGAAGGAAGGAAGGAAGGAGCAATTAATGCCAGAGGGGGAGAGGTAGGAATCAGTGAAGCTTCACAGGGGAGGTGGCATTTGAAAGAAGTCTCACAAAGTTGGTGTTTGTTGAAACAGATAAAGGAGAGGACACCTGGAGGGCCTTTTAGCCAAGGATGGGGTGTGGGGAAATGCAGGCCATGAGGCTGAAAGGTAAGTTGTGTTGAGTTGTAGACAGGATGATATGTGAAGGATCCAGGGGGCAAATTTTAAGGAGGCACTCACTCTCAGGCTTAGGCAAGAGTAGGGTTAGTATAGTGGTTGTGGCCAATAAGCAAAGAATTGACTTCAAAATCTCTTATATGGGTGATTTCCATTTTGAGAAGATGTACTTTTCCTTATTCTATGTGAAACTAAAACCTTGGACATTATATATAAAAGAGCATATGTTTCAGACAAGTAGAAGAATTCTGACTAATAGAGACTTTGAGAATCCAAGGAATGTCATGGTGGTGAACTTGGAAACACCAGTGAGTTCAGGCAAAAGTCTCCAACAAACCATACTCTGTTTAACCAAAGGACCAGGAAATGGGCAGCCTAGCAAGACAGAAAACTTTTATGAAGTTTCTGCTGCATTCTGACAAACACAAGGTAAACTGTGACCTGACTCCAATCCCACTAGAAAAGACTGAATGAATGTAGGGTGTAGACTTCACCAGACTGTATTCTCACCAGACTGTAAAATGGTGTCTCAAACTATTCTTCCATGCCTGGATGGTGTCAGAGAAGTCTCAGTAGAGCTGAGACTCAACCCTGGGTGGTAATAATTCTCCATCCATGTGGTATCAGTAGAGACCCTTGGGGAATTGAGATTTCCATCCTTACCCTATTGGTAATGAGATACCCTCCTACCCAACTGCTGGGGTAGCATCAGAAGGAGGCCTATTAGAAACTGCACTGTCTGGAAACCAAAGCCACAAGGAGATTTTTCTGTAATCTTCTCTATAAGAACCTGGTTGAAGTCCTAGAGGCAAATCTCATGAAAATGTACCCCCGTCCCAACCAAAACAAAAATTGGGCCTCAGAGAGTTTTAATCTCTCAAAATAGTTCTCATTCAGGCTCCGGTAAGACATTAATTATCATTTAAATATTCCTACCAGTTGCTGGCTCTGATGGTGGATTCTGTTCCTGGTAAGCTGTAGTGCTTTTTATTCATCTGCCTACCCATTTTATTTCTTTTTATTTATTATTATTATTATTATTATCATTATTATCATTATTATTATTATTATTTGTGATGCCTTTTGCCCTGCTTGAATTCTCTGGTTGACTTCTGCAGAGTTGCTGATTTTTCAGTTTGTTCAGCATTTCTCTTGTTGTGAGGATGACAGTAACAATTCCCAAGCTCTTTACATGTGGGAACAGAAACTGAAAGTCCTGTGTTAATTTTTATCCATTATTTTATTTATTTAGATTTGTTCTTCAGTTTGGGTAATCTCAATATATCTTTCAATTCACTGAAGTTTTCATTGTTTATCCCTTTCTTGTGGGCCACACTTTCTTGTTTCTTTATATATCTTAAGTCTTTCTAAAATTTGGACATTTAAAATAATATATCATGGAGCSGGGTGCAGTATCKCATGCCTATAATCCCAGCGACTCGGGAGGCTGAGGCAGTAGAATTGTGAGTTCAAAGCTAGCTTCAGCAAAAGTGAGGTGCTAAGCAACTCAGTGAGACCCTATCTAAATAAAATGCAAAATCCCTGGTACCCCCCTGCCAAAAAATATATATTTATATTTATATTTCATGGCATCTTTGGAAATCAGATTCTTTCCTCTCTCTAGGGTTTGCTGTTTCTGTTGCTTAGTATAGTTGTGTAGTTGTTGTTTACTGTTTTTTTTCCTTTCATCTATTTCTGTAAAGTCTGTATTCTTTGTCATATGTGGACAYTGAAAAATCTACTGATTAGCTTAGTGGTCTCCTAACAAAATGGGCAAATATTTCTTTAAATGTCTGGAAAAATGGAATACCCTGGTCATTGTGAGTGGCTTTGTTTGCATGTGAGGCATGCCTTCAAAGCTCAGCCAAACAGTTGAAAACTCTTCCTTGGCCTTTTCTTCCTGCTTGGGAAGAGCCTCAAGGTCAGCTCAAGGATATAGCTTTGGACTTAACCTTGAGCCTCTCACAGTCCTAGACATGCATAAAGCCTTACACATGTGCATGATCTCCTAGACTTCTGGGAACATGTTAGAGCTTTTCAAAATTCCTGCAGTTTTGGGATTTGGGAACATAATGTTTCCCCAGGTTTTCCTGTAAGCTTTTTTGGCCAATCTATCATTTGCCCCAAATGTTATCCACTACCTTAGGCAGGAAGTTAAAAGAAAATTGCCTGGAATAGTTTTTGCTGGGGTTCTGTTGGGAGAAGGATTATTACACTGGGTGATCTTCAGGTCAGGTCAGCTTTGCAAATGTGGTCTTAAAGGTAACCAGCAAAAAGTTCAAACAATGAGAGAGTTATTTGTTAATGAGGACTTGAAAGAGCTCCACCTTTGTTCTGTTTCTCTGATAGCTGCTCTGGAACAGGCTGTTATTTCAAGGTTACTATGGAGCTAAAGAGCAAGTGATGGGACAATGCCACAGAGTTTGCTATTTATACTGATCTTTGGTYGTTTCTCTTAAATTAATGCTTTTTGGAATGCTGCAAGGCTTTAGTTGATTTCAAGAGTTAAGAAAAAAATTGTTCTTAAAAAATATTGCTCGACTTGTATTTGTTTTATGGAATGACGTTGTGGAAATTCTTATGCCACCATTTTTGTTGACATCTACTGTGCTGTTCTTGATCTCATCCAGTTTGTAGATAGAACAGTAAGGAAGTTGTAGTTARAATAATTCCGTGCCTTTGCTGGATCAAAGTACCTTGAAATTATAGAATCCTGAATAAAGTGGGTAGCCTACTCAAATTACTTTGAGCCTTTTTATCTTGTCTATAAAGCTCGGTATGATACCAATGAACCTATATCTGAATCCTGTTAAATGGCTACATACTATTTCACAGGGTGGCTAAAATATAAAGTCTAAACAGTTTTCTGTAATTGACCTTTTAGATTCATGAGAATTTTTAGATATTATTCTCTCCACATTACTTCCCTTTTATTTTATCCAGATTTGCTTTGGATTAGCAATCAGAACTTAAGTTTATCTGATGGAAACAAAATCTGAAAAGAGAAGATTGCGAGTCCCATGATGTAAGACAGTGTTTGGGTGATTCCGTTTCCATTGGTACTAAGCTATATCTGAGCATAGAATGGAATTCAGAACTTCATGAAAGAAGAACTGCTGTCTAGAGGGTTGATGTCACATAGCCTGTGTCCTCACTGACAGTGGCTATCCATTCTGCCAACTCTGGTGGAAGATTACACTTCTCAAAGTGAGTTCTTCAATCCTGGATCTTAATAATTAGAGTCTGCTTTATTAAATTAAAGGTTTCTGAAGTTCCTGATAAAGATGTCCTGTTTCATAAAATGTATTTTAATTGTAATTTTGTTTTTACTGCCAGACTTTATCCAGCCAAGAAGACTCAGAAGGTAGTGAGTATGCTTTGGTAGTCAGATTGTTTTTCTATCTTAGGGATTACTTTTTCACAGTTTCAGAAAGACAGATTAAACACATTGATTATTACAAATTAGATTTTTTKGGGAGGATTTACAATTTAGAATTTAGAAGGAATAAAGGCAGTTTTCAGTAGAAGAATGGAAAAACTTTTCCCCTCAAACATGCATTATTTACAAAATGGATTTGCAGATTCTCAGTACTGTCAGAACAATAATATTGTGAAACAGTCATTCCCATGGGAGACCTCTAGATCCAATGTTCAATGAGAGGTTAGTTCTGGCTGTGAAGGAGAACAGTTCAGAGGCCGGGGCACAAAGCCATTAGCTCCACTGCAGGCCTGATTGTTAATTAAGGGCCACCATAACCTRTGAGAGGCAAAGAGTCTGTCCACTGGCTGKCTGTCCTTCTACTCACTCCTTCTGTCTGGGTTTTGCATCTCAGCTCTTTTCATACAGAAGTAAACCCTCTTACCCACCCCTGGCCAGGCTCAGCCTCAAGGTTTACACACAGAGGATCTGTGTTTGGGTCCGTTCCTCCTCCCCTGGGCGAAGGTGTGGAGGTTGCTGAGGGCATGTGGGAGRGAAGCCACCCTCACTGCTTGCCTACACTTCTCTGCCCAGGTATGTTTAAGTCTTTTGACCTCCGCACGATAATTATGTTCGCCATTGGTAGCGGGATCCTGGCGGCCATGCTCATGCTGATAGGACTGGTCCTCTGTCTTCACGTCAAACTCTCCAAGGCACTGAAGTGAGTCCCATGGGTTGAGTAAGCGCCCCTCAGATGGGACACCCGGGGCTCTGCTTGACTGATCATTCCTTGCTGCCCTGGTCTCTTCCTGTGTGAGGTTAAGAGCTACATTTTRCATGTATAGTAGTTGTAGGAGAGGAAAGGATGAGATAGGCACTCGGCACAGGGCCCAGAGAGTGTTCATCTAGGGCTGGTGTCATGTATGTGACTGGCTCCAACTCTGAACCTCCCAGATACTCCTGATAATTGTAAGAAATACACTGTAAAGGAAAATTCTAAGGCCATGTTTTGTGTGTGTTTTTTCTTAAGAGCTGCAAAGGAATGCTGTTCAAACAAGTTCCAGAGTAAGGGAAACCCACCTAAAGGCATCACCGAGACTTCTCCTGCCCTCCAGTGCTGTGATGAATGTAGCATGTATACAGATTATGATTCCCTGCCACCTTGCCTTTGTGGCAAAAATGAGGGACTCTGACATGGGAATGGTGGACATAAAAATCTTGAGCAATATTTCTTTCTTAGTGGAATGTTTTATTATTCAAGTCAAGTTCTATAGTGTTTACATTATACTACATACTATAAAATGTTATTTTATGTTATTTTAAATAAATGTACAATGTTGAAAATATTCCTCTCTTTCAGCATTTTTTCTTAGTTACACCTGTCTCTTATTTAAATATATTCATTACTTACTGTGAGACTTGGGTAAACAAGCATGTAATATTATATGGTGAAAGGAGAGAGAGAGAGACAGAGTAGAAAATAAAAGTGGCCCATACTTTTACGACCCCAAAAGGAAAGTGCACACCAACCTCAGGGTATTTCCAGTTTGAGCCACAACTAAACATGCCAAGCGAGAGCAATGTTTTCARTTCTCCTTCCAAGGGCTTGCTTGTTCCCAGCTCTTCCACCAGGGATAGTTATGTCACAAGTCCTRAAGGGGATGCCATTCATTGAGAAAGAGTGAGAACAGTCATACTGGACAGATCTGGGTTTAAGTTGTCTGAACTGTAATGATGGGGTGACCCAATGGCCTCAAAAGGGCATGTAGAAAGCCCGGGGTTCATCCTTCTGACCTCCTGATACTTTCAGAAGCAGGGTCCTCCTTTTCAGACCACTTTTCAGACCCATCAGTGCCCATTCAGCCATTAGCATCTTCAACTCTAACTGGAGCCTCCAGCCAAGGCCAAAGTCCAGATTTCCTTGACCACAGCACGGGCAGCAGGATACACCCTCTCACTGCTTTTGCTGCTTCTACTGAGCCTCTGGAATCTCTTCCTGAGCATGGACGTCCACGTCCATCTGTAACCATGTTGTACTCCCTCGTTAAGAAAACTCTGTGGGTGTTGCAGCTGTACGTAAGATAAAGAACCATTCACTAGTGGCAGGGACTGCCTCCTGGAATGGGCTGAAGGGAGGAGCTGGTGCTTCCTCTAGGTCATGAGGGGCTAGAACTGGAACAAGGTGCCAGACGAGGGCCACCTGCTGCCTGGGCTTTAGTCCTTGGYGGGGGTCTGGCTGTCTCAGGAACACTCAGGACATTTGTGTTGGAGAAACAGGTGAGAGGTGGGTGGGCATTTCTCCACTCTGCAGAAGCTGCCCTTAGGTAGTCAAGCAGCTCCCTGTGCTCCCCAGCCTCTGGGTTCTTTGAAGAGGCTGAGTCCAGGCTGCGTCTCTCCTGGATGGTACCCTGAGATCCTCCATCTGAAATGACCTGTCCTTCTTAAATTTCAAGAGCACCACAGCTCATCCCTCACCTCGCTTCAATTTTGTCCCCAATAACTTCTTAGCAGATGGAACACAGATATCTGAGTCTCCTCTGAACTACCCTGTGACAGCCACGTCTCTGGACCTGGAAGCTGGTGGTGGTATGTCCCTATGGAGGTACTAGGCCTGTTCCAGGCATTCCAGGCACCACGAGGCAGTGAAACAAGTGGTCTTTAGAGTCCCACCATGTGGGCAGGAGGACAGAGCATGCATACAAGGTCTTTAGAGGCCCATCGATAGTTTCTGTTCCACCTCTGCCTTCACTTGGGGCATTCCTTTGATGTCCCCCAGTCCCTTGATCTCTCACTTTCCTTGATGTGAAGTGGGGACCAGGAGGATCTGTGAAAGATCACAGGCCACTCACTCAGTGGTGAGCAGGGAGTGAGGAGATCCTGACCATAGGAGAGGGGGARCCCTTATTAGTAATTTGAATAGTCCCCTCCCTAGAGGCCTGTCCCCTACTCACTCTCACATTAGGACACACAATCCCTGTCTCTTCTGTGGCCACCCACCCTGAGAAGAGAGGAACCCAGCAAATCTGTGCAAAGATCATGAGGGATGCCCAGCTCCTTGTGGGCATCACTATCTAGCCTTACAGGGGACTGCCTTGGTGCTTCAGCACCAGGTATGGCCCCCGACCTCTGACCTAGGGACCCAACAAGGAGTAGATGCCCTGGGGCACTGTCTAGGACCTGCCTTCCCYCAGAAAGCCCCTGTCCTGGGTCCTAGTGAGGGTTCCTGGGCTGCAGAGCCATAAGAGCAACACAGAAGGGTGCAGGGTGGCTAGGAAGGTTCCCACCTAGGAAACCCAGGCTCTACCCATCTCAAAGCTCCACAGAGATTCCTTAAGATTTAGCCTCAGGAGATTCCTTAAGAATTAGTCTCACTCCACCAAAAAGTTCCATGCAGTTTAGAACAAAATCCAAACAGCTCCCCTGCCACACAGGTCTTTCC